AAAAAACAAAACAAACAAAAAGTAAGTACAAATACAATACTATGTGGCCACTTCATATTTTAACTCCTCGCCAAAACCTGCATCCTTTTGTTTACCTTTCAGATCTCTAGGAGTTGTTTTAGTATTTTGTCTAAATTGCTTCATTGTAACCAGTGCAGGAACAGGTTATAGGGAGGTTTAAAGCGCCAGAGCAGAACCAGAGCTCTCTCTTTAGCTTTGGATTCATTCAAGTAACTGGAATACGTAATTGAGAAATTTTCCTAAGAAAGGAAGAGTAATTATTACTTTTCTGAGTTCTTATGTCAGGATGTCCCTGACTTTGGAACACTCAAAATGTTTGACAAACTGTAAGATTTTTAGGTCATTTTACTTCCTCATTTTACTTACAACCAAAACATGGTTGGTATTACTCCGTTGTCTTGTTGCATTAAATATCATGGGGGAATAATCACAGCCTGCCTAATGTTTTTGTTTTTACACATAATCAATTCTCCTTTTCAACCCAGATGCTTACAAAATTTTCTTCTTCCTTTTTTTGATATTAAAATTTTTGCCAGGATATTCCACGTGTTGAATATTTTGTTAATTTCACCAAGAACAAAAGAGAGCCTTTTCAAATTTTGAATTTAACATCTCATTTAGCTCTGGGTGATTTTTCCTGTCAACCCAATGCCCTATCTTTTTTTCCTCATTTAATTTATCGAAACGAAATCTCTACTATCTCTTTGCCAGGATATTTCACGTGCTGACTATTTTGTTAATTTTACCAAGAACAAAACAGAGCCTTTTCAAGTTTTGAATTTAACATTTTATTTAGCTCTGGGTGGTCTCTCCTCACTGTCAACCAGTGCCATATCCTTTTTTTCCTCATTCAATTTATTAAAACAAAATCTCTACCCTCTCTTTCCTATCTATCATCTTCCTGATCATTTTCTTGTCTTTAGTTTCCCCCTCAGTATTCTGAAAGTGTTCCACATTTGTTTACTACACCATGACACCGTTTTCAGCCTTTGACTGTCACTGCTATAAAACTAATCTAACATATGAGATTCTTATACATTTCTTTATATAAGCCAGAACCTTGTATTTCTATCCTTACATTAATGTGTTCCTCAACCTTTGTGTTGCAGAGTTGTTTTTCCCCCCATCTTTTAGGAAGGTAACCAACAGCCTTCTAAAATGTTCTTTTTTGGGGGGCACCTGGGTGGCTCAGTCAGTTAAGCGTCCGACTTCGGCTCAGGTCACGATCTCGTGGTCCGTGAGTTCGAGCCCCGCGTCGGGCTCTGGACTGATGGCTCAGAGCCTGGAGCCTGCTTCCAGTTCTGTGTCTCCCTCTCTCTCTGCCCCTCCCCCATTCATGCTCTGTCTCTCTCTGTCTCAAAAATAAATAAAAAACGTTTAAAAAAATAAATAAAATGTTCTTTTTTTGTGTGAAAAAATAAT